ACGTCAATCCAATTGGTCGCTTGAGTTTTTGATAGGGTTATTTAACTATGAATTTATATAGTTATCAGAAGAACTTGACTAATTTTACTCATTTTCTGCATTAATTAGAATCACCGCTTAAAACTATATTGTGAATCCTGTCCAAAAATATAGATAGACTATATATAAATGTTTTGTATTGAAATAGTATTAATAACAAATTAAATAGTCAGTAAAGGGTAAAAAGGGCAATTTTTATGTCTTTAACCCTTATTATCTCAGGTAATATAAGAGATCAGAGGATAAAATTTTGTTTTAATCTTAATCCATGTATAAACGTATCCACAAATTTTTAGCGAAATTGAGAGGTGGGCTAAATGGAATTGATTTGAAATGAGACCCATGATCAGGGTTGCCAGGTCAAAATTTTCAAATTGTGGGAGAAATTCGGTATTTTGTGGGAGTAATATAAAAATTGTGGGAGAAATATGAAAATTGCTAAAAAAACATTTTTCAAAGGCCCGGCCTGCGGCCGGGATTTAGAATTGACTTAGTTATCCGCTTATTATTTTTTATAAATATAAAATCGAATCTATTTTCCAAAATAAAATAGGTAATTATTTTTCAAAATAAAATAGCCAACTATTTATAATAAAATAGCCAACTAATTTTCAAAATAAAATAGCCAACTATTTTTCAAAATAAAATAGCCAACTATTTTTCAAAAGAAAATAGCTAACTATTTTTCAAAATAAAATAGCCAACTATTTTTCAAAATAAAATATCCAACTCTTTTTCAAAATAAAATAGGTAACTATTTTCTAAAATAAAATACGCAACTATTTTTCAAAATAGGTAATTATAGTACGACACAAAATTTCTTAAATACTATCTTTATTATTTAAATAACATATTGATTTATTATAATATATTAATTTTGTTTAAAAATAATAATCAACGATCTTTTTTAAATACAAAAGAATGTAAACAAGATAAAATTTTATAAAAAATTGTAATTTTACAATGTAAAAAAATATATTTTATGCTAATGTATAAATAAGATTTTATAAAAAAACAAACAATTTTAAATTTACGATGTAAAAAATAATTATAATCAGTGCGGGGAAGTTGTTCTACAGTATTTAGTTAATACAATGGGGGAAGGGAATATGATATTTTGAGGCATCAAAAATCTTCAAAGCATAAATCAGTACAGGGCAGTCTATCAACATCTATTGCAAAACAAAAATATTCTTCAAAAATAAGAAATAATACAGATGCAACTACAGTTGCGGAAATGGTAAATACCTATCATGCAGTACAACATTCAGAGAGCTCAGCGTCTACATGACAGTATATTCACTGGATGCAAACCCCCCTCAAAAATATATGTCTACCCTCCTAATATACCAAAATGTTATCCATAGATAATTTAAAAATGTAATGGAAAATTTTCTAGATTATTATAGCCTACCCCCCAAAATGCCTACCCCCTACCCCTTTATAGATATTAGGATGCAAACTGTTCCTACCCCCACCCCCCACCCTCTCCCCCGCTCATGTAGACGCTGAGAGAGCTACTTAACATCACAATGTTGGTAGAATTTCCCATAATATTTAACGACTAATATAAATGAAAAGTATACTTTGTAGAACACAAATGAGCAAGGCTATCATCAATGTTTTAGGATATAAATCCAGAAGGTCAATTCTTGACGATTTGAAAGATGTGCAAACATATGCAATTCTAACAGATGCATCTAATAAGGAGATATCAAAACATTTCCCTTGATCCTCCCCTATTTCAACAAAATTAATGTCATTTCAATAAAACTATTAAAAAAATTTTCTCCAGATATGAAATATCCAAAGACATAGCTAACCATATATAATGGTAAATATGGCAGATTTGGCATTACCAATGAATTGCATGGAAGCTTTCTGATCTGATAATTCCTTAGTGAATTTGGCAAAAATCAGAGTGTATTTACAGAATTGAGTCAGCAGAATGTTGGTTGACAGGTTCCTCCTAATACGCACCATCGTAGAATTTTAAAATTTTACAAACCTTTAAAAAATAAATAGATTATAAAAGCTATCCTAAAATTTTGAAAAAAAATTTCAAAAATAAATGGAAGAAGTATATTTAGGAATTTTACATATAGGAAATCTACTATATGCTGTTAATATGCAGTTGCAATCAGAAGAATATAATTTAATAAAGGTTCACTAAATTATGCTGCAGAAATACCAAAGTAAGAATATTATTACTAATCGTAATTATTAATAAGATTTAATATGGTGTCATGTTTGAGGAGATTGTAATGCTTCTTTATTTTTATGATTTGCCAAAATATTCAAAATATTAATTTTACAATGTAAAAAATAAACCTGGCATGAAATTTTATAATTTTGTTTAACCATTAACTCGGCCTCTAATGTTGTTAAAGCAATTCGATTTCTCTCCTTTCTCCAGGCAGTCCTCATCAGGCTAAAAATGCGCTCCGATGAGGCATTAGAATGAGGTAAGGAGAAAACATACTCGCAAATTTTTTCCAAGCATGGGGATTTATCGTTATTACGAAAAAATTCCACCCATTTCTCCTCTGCTTTTAGACCATCTAACTTTAAGTATTCTGGCGAATCATAAAAAATCGAAAAAATTACAATCTCTTCAAACAAGGCTTCAATGTCTATAGGTAATTTTAATATATTTATTAAATTACAAAAACCATCAAATGATGGTTTCTGTTCCAAGGTCATAATATTTAACAATTGTAAATAGAGTTATTAAAATCAAATCTTGATTGTAAATATTCCAAAATTGTCTTAATGAAAATATTTGCTTCATTTAAAAATACGTTAATTATAGTAATATTTGAACATTAATATGATATTTTTAACAATAGCGCTATAAAATTTATTATCTATTTTTAACTGTAGAGATGAACAGAGCTGTAGCATGATTTTGTGAATCTTTATCAATAAAGAATCTTCTGATTGCAACTAAATATTAACTACATGAAGTAGATTTCCTACATGTGAAACTAGTGGAGCACTGCAATTCTAGATAACGATATAAAATATATTAAGTAATTTAAAATATATTTATAATAATTACACATACTGTTCCAACTTCTATTCTTTCTAACACAAAAATTTTGAAAATGTCGAGTAGAGAATTGGGGAATTTTATAAAAAATATATTTTAGAGCGGAAAAATAAAATAAAAGAACTAGACATATTTTTCGGATAAATATTTAAAATTTATTTTAAAAATATAAAAATAATCAAATACTGTCTCTCAAAATTATTATTTATATATTAAAAACATTAAAATGCTAAAAAAAAAATTGTGGGAGCTTTTTGTGGGAGATTTCTAATTGTGGGAGTTTTGTGGGAGTGAGATGTATGTGGGTAAACTAAAAAATTGTGGGAGACTCCCATTGATGGGGGGAGACATGGTAACCCTGCCCATGATTTATGTTAATATAAAAATATTAAATATGGAAACCTACCTCAAAGAGTGATTCGAAGCTTTTTGATATAAATGTTTTTTAGAGAAAAATTGTAATATATAAATATAGCAAGCAAATTATCAATAATGGAATGAATAAGTCTAGTGAATAATAAGGTTGCACCAATTCAAAATATTGGATCAAGACCGTATTCTATATAAAAATTGACAAATTAGTTCTATCATCAGAGATGAACTGATACTTTCAAATTTAATTTTAGTCAGAGACACATGGTAGGTAACAATTTTCTTTGTCTGCCAAAATCAATATTAACAAGGTACCAGCTGATTCCAAAAAAGAATAATAAAGTAGTATATATATATTAAATTGAGAAGAAGAAAAATGCTAAGATATAATCTACCAATATTATCATGTCATATATTCACTATAAATGATAATATTGATGAATATAAACGTTTGATTTTTTTCCAATATGCTAATATAATTTTATTGATATTGATCAGCTAATACTATATTGGCATCGAATACAAAGGAGGTAGCATATCTCTGGCTCAAATAGAAAATTATATTAAGAAAGATATACCATTTTCTTCCATAATACTATCAGGTTTCAGGTGGATACCACTGATGCCTGGTAGTACAAAAAAAAGCATCAGATTAATACTCAAAATCAGTGCATATCTAGAATATAGATAATATCTAAAATTATAGAAAAGAAAGGGGCATGACTAAAATATGCGCCCCCACGCGCCCTCTATGAAAGAAGCTTAATTTAAATTATATTAATATAGAATCGTATTTAGCTTCGTAAGTTTAAAAAAAATTACTTTTTTACATGATTAAAATGCGCGTCCCTAAAGCCCCCATACGCGCCTCCTATTAAAGAAGCTTAATTTATAAAAAATAAACACAGAATCATATAGAGCTTATTAAAAGGTATAATTAATGTTAATATAATATTTTTAAATTTTTTTTAAACTTAGTGGGCTTTTAAAAAAATATTTATTTTTTTTGACTAAACTACGCGGCCCTACGCACCCCGGTCAAGATTATTTTTTAAAAAATGAATAGAAAATAATGTTTAGCTTTTCAAGGAGATTGAAAATAGTACTATATTCATTTTTTTTTTAAATTTTAATTTTCGAAAAAATTTTTTTGACTAAACTACGCGCCCCCGGTGAATATGCATTATTTTTTAAAAAAATGATAACATAATCATATTAAGCTCATATTTTTTTTTTTTAAAAAAGCATTCTATGCACAAAATGATTGCTCTATAAAGTGAGGGGCACTTTAGAGAGTTTTATTTAAAATTGTATGTACTAAATAAATCTAGTATATTATTAATATTCTTAACAAATTTGAACATATTTTAAATATACTAACTAAACTATAATATAAATATCTAAAACAACAATTTCAATAATAATTTAAAAATTAATATATAATATATAGATACATATAATATATTTTATGGTAATATAACAAAATCAATATTGATAAGCAATGTTACTAACTAATCATATAAAAACATTTTTTTTTTTTTAAATTTAAATAACGTTCATTTATACATCATCTGATATAATTTTATTTTCTTTTTTAAATGAATATTTTGTATGTATACGATTAAAATTAAATATTTTATATTTAATTCTAAAAAATAAATGAAAGTTTAAATAAAAAAAGAAATTAATGGAAGAAATAAAGTATATATAAATGGGAAAGAAATCAGTGTTTCGACAACCAGAAGTTCCTGAAATAAGGCAACAACATTTCTAACCATTCGCTAACGACCTTTTCATTCCGATCCAACCAAGCAACGTTCAAGAGAATTTTTTCTATCCCGGCGCTAAAGAATGATTCGCCTAACATTTTTTCACTACTCTTCTTCAGGGTTATCTTTTGGTGTTTCTCCGTTTGCCTCGAGATGAAATACAAAATCTAATGTTCATTTGAAAAATAAATTTGGGATTTGAAGGAAAAAATAATAATTCCCATCCTCCCATGCCCTCGTTCACAGTTTATAAAATGTAGGGCCATATCGTGATGATTGATTATTTTTATCGCCTCGTTAAAACATATTTTACTGTGAATGTGGCGAAGTTTTAAATGAATAATGTATTTGATAAATGAAATAAGGTATAAAAAAACTTCATTAAGTTCATCTTTCGTATTTCTACCATACATCAATATTGTTATTATGTTTTCAAATGCAAAGTGATTGTTGCCCCATCTTGAGGAAAACAAAAAATTAATTATTTACTTATTTACAATCATTTATGTCGAGATCTATTTTTCTTTTCTTAATTTCTTCCTTCCCTCCCTCGTTTATCATTTCTTCCTTATCTCCCATTTCTAAATATCATTCATTTACTTTTTGGTGATGATATCCCAGTTATTCATGATAAAGGACCAAGTTACGATTCTACCAACCTGATTCGAATGAGCGATCGAACGTAAAAGAGTGGTCATATCTTGAGACCTTACCATGCTCTCGTTCAAGGAATAATGAAGTATTCTATTTATTTTTGATTTAAAAAAAATGAGTATGGGAATAATTTATTTTCAAAGCTTGATGTACCTAAATACATGCCATCAATTAAAATGTGTTATTAGAATACATTTCCGGCATTATTATTTTAATTTAATTTACAATTTAAATGGTGTAAAGAAACAAAATTTAAAAAAAAATTGGAAAAATATAATTAAATTCAGAAGCAAAACTGGCTTAAGCTTCATTTATAATGGAGAGTCCGTCTCATTAAAAATGCTAAATGTTCATAGTAGCTTCCGTTCCGATGAGCCGGCAAATTTAGTAAAATCGATGACTTTGAGATCCGGCAAATTTAGTAAAATCGATGACTTTGAGATCCGGCAAATGTTCAAAAATCGTTTCTAACGATTTATAACTAGTGCTGTAAGAGCATTACTTTAAAAAAGAAATGTGTTACTGTTACCTTATGAAAAAAGGAACGCGTTATTGTTATTCATACAAAATTTGAATTTTCTTTTTATTTATTTTTTTCCCCATAAATTAAAAAAATCATAAAATATTATATACATAAATCATTCTTTTTGAAATAAGTTGGATCAGATAAATAGGAGAGCTTAGTGCTCAACATAAATTTCTATGTGCTAACACAAGTTTAGCTGAAACAGAGAATGGGTATTATATTTGATAAATAAAAAAATTTATTGGAATAATTTTTTAAAAATATTTAAAGAATGATTTTTATTTTCAAAAAACTATTAATAGATCATTTTCACAAAAATCTTCATTCAGATCCTCATTAAAAAAAAATTTAAAAATCTTTATCAGAATTTATTCTAAATTCATAATTTTACTTACATGTTTTTTAGATTTTAGCTGTGAGTAAATTAGAAATTATTGTTTATAATGTAATATATTATAAATTATCATATTCGTTAATTATATATGTTTAATAATGAATTTATATATATATATAATATAATATCGAGTAAGGTTTAGTTACCGAACGCTAATTATAATTTTTAGTACGCCGTGATTATGTGTTTATATACAAATGATGATTGTGTGTGTGTTTGTTTTAACCTGCTATCGAGGTTAAAATATTTAAATTGAGGTATAAAACAGACTTACAAAATTTAGACTTTGCCATTAGTTTTTTTTATTTGTATGAAAAACGTTTATATGCGGTCAGGGCAGAGTTATATCATCTTCATCTGAAGAATAAGTACTAGTGACATTCTTTATAAAATAATTTATAATATCGTCAGTCTAGAATTGGAGTGCTTCACTCGACATTTTCAAAATTGTTGAGTTAGAAGTGGATAATAACTTATTTATTTCCAATATATATAAAAATAAAAACTAGATTAAAAAATTTTAATTTTTGCCAAAGTTATAGCACTGTCAATTTTGCTCTATTTGCATATAACGATGTAATTTTTAATTCATATGCATGGCCTATCCTATTATCTTGTTTAATCACATGTTGTATTTCCCTCCCTTTTTATTTGATTTTCTATATTTTTCATTCCATATCTATCCTCAATTATTTTAATGTCAAGGTAAATTTTTTATTAATAATTGTTTTTAAAATTTAATTCATTATTTTGATATCACTATAATAAAAATGTTGATAAAAATGATTCAATCAAGCCTGAAATTATAACATTTTACAATATGACTAAAGATAGGTTAGATATGATGTATTGAATGACAAAAAATGATATAATTTAAAGAAGGTCTTACACACCTCTAACATAATATCAATTAATTCACATAATATAACAAACACAAAAATATCCACTACAAGGAGTAATTAATACCTTCTTAAAATTATTATCATTTTTTGTCATTCAATACACCATATCTAACCTACCTTTAGTCATATTGTAAATGTTATCATTTCAGGCTTGCTTGAATCATTTTTATCAATATTTTTATTATAGTGAAAAGTTGATAGCGATATGACATCCTTTTTTTTCTTAAATGATAAAAATAATTTGAAAAATGAGATAATTATAAAAAAAATTAAAAAAAAAAGCATAATAATTCTTGCTTATATCCTAAAAGCTATTCAACCAAAATATATGAAATTTGAAATATAGCTAAGATATATTTCATGAAGCTACTGAAGATTTCAGATCTTAATAATGACCATTTTTATGTAACAACAATTCTAGGAAGCCTGGGGTTTCATAAACCCCACCAAGGGTTAAGCATTACTTGCTCATTAAATATAAAAATTTATTTTTATTTTATCTTCAACTTCGAAGCAAACAAATATAAGAAAAAGATTAAGGGAATGTGGTGAGACCTATATCAATATTTAAGGTGATTTAAAAAGAGAAAGGATGGTTCAGAATGGTCATTCTAATAAATGTACATTTCAATGTCATAAAAAAGTTAATGCAGATCAGAGTAAAATTATTCATGAGGCTTTTTTGAGCTTAGCTGATGAAGCTAAAGAATCTTTCTATAGCAAATTTATTGTTAGGACTGTAAGAGAAGGGTAAAAGATTCTTTAAATTAAAAAACTAGCATACTTATATTTTTTTAAAGTGGAGAATGTTAAAGTTAGAGTTTGCAGATAATTTTTCTTACAAACACTTGACATAAGTAATAAACATATTAGTTATTTCTTTAAAAATTTATATCAAAATACTGGAAATAGGCAAAAAGATTCTTCAAAGGGGTACTTTGAGGGTATTTTCAATTATATATGAATTAAATTCTAAAAAATGTGAAGAATTATCATGAATTCCTGTTAAAGATCATTATACATGAATAAATTAGAAAAAAAATAAGATATAGTGTTAATTTCTATGATTTGAAGTTATATATTTGAATATATTTATTAAATTCTAATAAATAAAGTGTAAATGGAGCATTTTGAACATCAAAAATAAATCATAAACTGTTATATTTGCTTCACTTGCATTTTGATTTTATCAAATATATTTTATATTTAAATATTTGAACAAAAATTTTTTAGGCAATAATTAATTAACAATATGATAAATTATCTCTAAAATTTTTAATTAAATTGATCAATAAGTTTTTCCTATATTTGATTTTAAACTTTAATGTTGATTTTCTCATTTTAAACATTTGCGCAAGTGGAGCACTCAAATCCAATTCTAGACCGACGATATTAGAAAATATAAATATGTAATTTATAATATAAATTATATATTTTGATTTTGTTTCTTCGTGTTTATGACATTTTTTTACTTTTAAATGGCATTTAATGCATGATCAATAATTTTACAGGTGAATATTGTTTATTTGATTTATATAATAACGTCTAATTTGTTATAAGCGGAAACGTCAAAAATAATAAATTTGAATGCGATGTCGGAGGCTGTCAGGTCAGATATTTTGCCCAGTATGAATGTAGCCTTACTTATTTAAAGGACATGTTTTGAATGGTGAGTATGCAAGGTGCTCATGAAAATTACATTTTTTTTAAAAAAAGGCTAAATATTGCTTTGTTAAAAAGAGCTATTTTGAATTTATCCTAATTTTATAAAAAAAAATAAACCCATGAACGTTCATAAAAAAAATAGGGGTTGCTAAAAACCCCCCTTTCCACTCCCTTCTGACTCCAATGTTCAAATTAAAAGAATAAATCATATTATTTATCTCTATATTTCTTATAAAAACATTTGATTCTGCCTTTTTTCTTATTTAGATAAAAATAATAAATGAATCAGAGTACTAAATTCTCACTAGAGTCTATCAGGGGCTCGAGCGCCGATAAAATTTTAGAGGGTCTGCTTAAAAATACAAATTGAACACTTATTTAGTTCGCTAAAACTAAAAAATCTAGTGAAGCCCCCCTAATGTTAGACGTGTTCATTTACTATGGTTTTTAATTGATATAAATGAGTGAAATATGGAAGATTTTAAATATTATATAAATACAAATGATTTTTTTATAGGATTTATAAATATAAATCGATATCCATAATAAGATACACAGCATAACCTGTAAGGCGGCAGTCAGGAACCTTCCGCCCCCTCCTCTTCCACCCGCACTTTTCACATTAGCACCTTAAAATTTATAATAATCAATTCACAATATGGAAAAGGTTATCTAAAGAGGGTTTAAATAGTTTTCAAATCACTTTTTAAAAAAATCTCGTCTATTATAAGAAAAATCCTCTTTTCATGTTCTTATACTGGAATTTATCTGAATACGATATCTCCAACAATCGCTTTATTTATCTCTAGAGTTACAATTTTTAAATTTTTTTGGAAGTGCCCAAAAGCCCCGACACACCTGATATCGAATCTTTTTGGGCCTTGGTCTATTTTATTAATCCACTCTTCTAATATTCCAGTTAGGTTAAATAATAAATTTAACTATATATAAAATATTCATTTTTTTAATTAAAATATCTCAAACATCATGCAGGACCCACTAAGACCGGGAAGAAGCTGTGCAACAAATTGTTTCTGAAAGTGAAAAATAAATTAACCTGTTAATTATCCAGGGTTCTCGACTACACCCCATCGCTATCAAATATCTCGTTTTTTCTTGTGCGTTCTTTATTTAAAAAAATGTTTAGACATAGAATGAAACAAATACTTTTATATAAATATAATTAAACTTCTTCATTTAGGTATCTTTGGAAGGCGAAATCCCATTCCTCGTTCGAGCCATAACTGATGGCGTTGCAATATACTATGCTCCTTAGATGGGGCTGAATTCTTTATTTTTTTAAATTTTAAAGAATAGACATAATAAATCTTTCAAAAATTTAACGTTTCCCCGATTTTTTCGTAAATAAATTCTGATCTGAGATATCTTATTATAATTAAAAATATTATCGATTTTAATAGGAATTAAAAAATTTATTCTAACTAGGGATGTTAATATCGAGATTTATTATACATAAATATTTCCATATTGAAGGATTTCTTATTTTTTTATAGTGATGCATAAAGGCCCGAAGTTATTGATTTTTTAAATATTATCATAGAATATTTAATAACACCTTAAATTAAGAAAATATTCTTTTTTGAATAATAGATTGTGGCTCAGAGGGTTAGAGACATTTACTGGAAGGGCAGTAAGCTATTTCGACCAGGGTTTGATCCCCGACGTAGCAATTTTTATCTGAAACAGGAAAATACAGTGGCGTATCCAGGATTTTCTTATAGGGGGGGAAAAATTTTTTTGGGGGCTTCGCCCCCAAACCTTTTACCTAGCCTTCGGCCAGCTTTCCCCCGGTTAGCTATTCTATTAAATTATTCATAATTTAATAATAATTATATTTCTATTTTTAACTATTATTTACTAATTCGTGCTTATGGATAGGATATTACAAGCCTCTTTTTTATTATTTAAAGTTAGGTATATTATATTTAATAAAGTTTTTTTAAATGTAAAGGTTTTTTTAAATGTAAAGTTGAAATAAAGTGTAATGTCATTTTTTTTATAAAATTTGCTTTAAAAACTAGCCTCAGCTTAAATTCTCATACAATATAATAGAATATAACTTTTTTATTGAAAATACTAATAGTAGTGTGTTTAAAATATTGACTAGAAAATAATTAAAAAAGTTTTTTTAACTTCTTATCAAATACAAGATTTTTAATTATTTCGTTTGTCGTTGGAACCAAATCTCTGTGTATATTTAACAGAGCTAACCCATTTAGCCGAGATTCAGTACTTCGTAAATATGTTTTCAACCTTCTCAAGTTGGAAAAAGTCCTTTCATTCGTACATGTTGTAATAGGCAAACATGCAAGAATATAAAACAACTTCGAAATATTAGGAAATTGAGCAAAGGTTTCTTTACACCGATTGAGCGCATCAATAGCATGCTCAGGTAAAATAGCTAAACGTATAAATAGCTAAACGTATAAATATTTATACCACAATTCGAATTCACTGATTAAATTTATTTCAGTATCAATCTCATAGGAATAAAATTTTTCTAAATATTTAATTTTACCAATAGTGGCATTAGAAAATGAAGAAGGATCTTTGGGTAATAAAATTTGAAGATTGCTAAAGACTTGTTTTTTATCTAAAACCCGTACTTTTATTTGCGATAAAAAAGTATCTAAGAATGAGATGAAAATGGATATTTTATAATATTCTTCAGTTGAGCCAATATTTATTTTCATCTCAAGGCCTAGGTAAACGAGGTTTAATTAGTGTTATATCATAAAATTTAACCTTCGATTCAACGTCTAGATAAATATTATGAGATTTCAATCTCTTTAACTAAATATTTTTCCATTTTATTAATATTTTTGAATAATATGTTGGAAAATTGATATTCAAATATTTGTAAAATTTTGATTGGTGGTAGGGGGGGGGTGAAGGGTGGGGGTAAAATTTTTATTAGCTTAAAATGATATTTATGAAAGTCAAATTTGCGATGGGGGGGGGAATTCCCCCCCCCCATTGGTTACGCGCCTGGGAAAATAGATAGGGTTACAAAGTTAGAGAGATATCGGTCAGGGTTAATATTATTAGTAATATTTTTACATTATATATAACTTTATCTAATATAAAATGACAATCAAATATGTATAAATGTTACATTCGTAGATTGTATATGTTATTTTATATAACATATGACAATATTATAAGTTATGCATGTCAAATATTGATATGATGTCAATCTTTAAATTTTGTATTATAAAAACTGCGAATGTGATACAGGATTTCTTTGTGTAAGCAAGCTGGCAATAAAGACTTAATGGAAAATTATATATTTGATTTGTCAATTGATTTTCAATGGAATTATTTTAGTGTAGTTGATGGAGTTTCAGAATTATTTTAATTATATTTTTAAAAAATGGCTTGATATAATTTTGTTATTGTTTGATAAATTTCTATATGTTGGCACTAACGCCTTTATCCAAGTTAAGCTGCATACCTATACCAAGATTGGATTGAAATATAAAATCAATGAACAATTTGGTTCTGTTTTTAATAACAGAATTCTTATTAAAGAGCGCTCAACTGTATAAAGTATTTTCCTTGCTTATTTAAAAAGAAAAAGGTTTAAATTTTACTTATTATCGGAAGGGGACATCATAAGGTCCCGGTATTTCTTCTTGGATTCTAAGACACATTCCCATATTTCGTGCTGACAAGCTGACTTGATTAGTTCCTCCTGGTTTAAACTTTTTTAAAGTTATTTTAACCAATATGACCAATGATTATTTATAAAAAAGTTTTTAAAATAGTTGGTAAGTGGGTAGGGTCAATTTTTGCATTAAAGAGTATGAGTGTGTCCTCGTTCGACTTGTTACTAAAAAATTGTTTAGCCGACTACATAGCTAACTAAACAGCCTAAAAACTAAGAGAAAAAAGAACAAAAAATACCAAACAAAAAAACGAGAAAAAAAATACGAAAATTAGCTATACCACCAAACTGTCAAAACACTCGTGTTTGGTAGTAATGTTAATTTTTGTACTTTTTCCTCGTTTTTTTGTGTTATATTTTTTGTGTATAAAAATTTTATTTTTTTTTGGTTAGTCGATACAAAATAGCGATTAAACATCCGGATGTTTAGTAATAAGTCGAACCAGGGCATCCCTATATACTTAAACCAAATATCAGAAAAGGATAGGAAGTGATATGAGAGGAGGAAAAATTTAAATAAATATTATAGAGTAAATCTTACAATGTTTTCAAATCTGATTCAGGATACTCCTTCCAGCCTATGTTTCTATAGTTGGGGTATAGCAACATTTGCATGTAATTCTGCAAGATATAAATTGATTTATTTATTGCATATTTTTATTTTTTCTCATTTTCTAATTTCTTATATATTTATATTTATAGCTTATTATTATTTATTTAAGTAAATATAACTAATAATAATTTAAGAAGGAAATAATAATTGAAAAAAAATAATTTGGCGATAAAATACTTTGTTTGCCAAAAAATAGTATAATTTTTTTTTAAAATGAGCTACTTAACCACATAACTTAATTACTTTATAATGTTCATAACTGGGTCTCCTTTTAAGCATTTCTCCAATGTATTCCAACCCATTATGAATAACTGTATTCCAAGGCAAATATTCGGATTCGTAAATCAGGTATTTAGTTGCTCTCATAGGTAATTCGTAACTCATATAGTTTGCTCTGCATATACAAAATATAATATAAAATATTTATTTTATCTTTTCTACTCATATCTTTTTGGTATTTCATATATATCCTTCCTTCCTTTTTTTCTTTCTTTATTGTTTTTTTTACAATTTATAATGCAATTCTAATATATTTTATCACAATGAACTCTTTAATCAGTGGCTAGTTATAAAGTTAGAAATCAAAACCCATTCTAACAAAAGTAAAAAAACTCATGTGTTTAATGTTCACTAAATTTTGTGTGATTCAATTTAGAAAGTTTATTTTGGTACTTAAATCCAAAACCGATAAATACAAATCTTAGAACATGAACGGTACTGAAGCTAGAATCTAAAATTTCAGAAACCGGAAAATTTTATGAACTGGAACCAGATCCTGGATCCTTTTTGGTCCGGGTTCAAAACTTAGTTCACTTTTTTAATTGCTATTAAATGAATGATTATTACTTTGCAAAATTGAACAAATCATCCAGGATTTGGGCTCTATTGGTAGGATTTATTAACTAAATATTTATAAATAAAAAATAAAATAAAAATTTTGGAAATATATCTAAAAAAAATACTTATTATGATATTTTCAAATTTAAGGGAAAATACTTTAAAAATAAAGAAGTAATTGAAATAAGACAAAAAATAGGTTATGAATGAAAATAGGAAAAAAAATTGAAGGTAAAGAAATTTGAATAGAAAAAAATGTGAATAGACTTTGTGATCGGTCATCAATTGACTTATGAGTAATTCCCAATTATGCCTGTCATACATGACTCTATAGACACCGGTTTGATTGACATTTCCCAGGATCCAATCAGTTACTGAGAAATCAGTGACACTGTCATATTCTTGTTCCGAGTTTAAGTCTATATTCGCTAAAATAGTTCCATTTTGTTTATTTTAATGCATTTAGCTTAGAGAAAAGTTTAAATAATAGATTTGATGCAATGGGATTGGGATGTATTTTTAATACTGGGCAGGGGCGTACGCAGAAATTTTCTACGGGGGAGGGGGGGGATAATTAAAAAAAATAGGTTATTCTAGAATATCTAGAGTTTCAGAAATTAATTAGGACTAGCACTAGTGACTATATAAAAAAATGTCTCTAAAAAGAACTTTGTAAAAAAATATAAATGATAAATTTAAATGTTGGAAATATTATATTAATACACAAAAATATTCTTCAGTATTATTATATAAACTTACAAATAAATTTATAATGCGAAATTAAATCTTCTTTATAAGTGAGTTAATTTTTCAATGATTTTATCAGCGCTTGTGTAAACTCTCAATTTTTATTAAGAATTCAATCTATTTTCAGAGGTTGTACTTCTCAAGGGTAACAGATTAAATCATGGGGAAATTTTCATATATTATTTTTTTTTTATTTATTTTTTTTTAATATTTTTTATTTATTTATTTTTTTTAATTTAAGAATTTAGAAAAAAAGAGTATATTTAAGAATTTAGAAAAAAAGAGTATATTTAAGAATTTAGAAAAAAAGAGTATATTTAAGAATTTAGAAAAAAAAGTATATTTAAGAATTTAATAAAAATAGGTATACTAAATAATTAATCAATTTATTTGAATAAACATAACATATATACAATGATAATATAGATATATATATTTTTAAGGAAAAACAAAAATAGTTCTATGTTATCCATAAAGAGGTAAAATGTTAAATTTAAAAAACTTTGATATTGTATCAAAAACTTTCCTTCAAAATCCACACGATATTTATTTATCAAAAAATTTCCTTCAAAATCCACACGATATTTATTTATCAAAAAAAAAATCTAAAAATACGCCAATTGAAAGAAAAAGGTAACATTCAAAAATTTCTACCAAAATCCAGACAATCTAAAAAAAATAAAAAAAAAAATAATATATGAAAATTTCCCCATGATTTAATCTGTTACCGAAAAATGGGATACAATATTATTTACTATTTTTTTTCATAAAAATTACAAATAAATAAATTTTGAAAAAATTTCTATTCAAATTTATTAATTTCAATTTTTTTTTTAAAAAAATAAATTTTGTAAATGATGAAAAGAACACTATTTTATTTTTACATTAAAAATAGCTTATGTTTTTTTTTCAAAATTAATTAATTTATATTTTTTAGATTTAGGACACAGCCTAAAAAAGAAATGTTCATTCGTTTGCGGAAGTACTAATGAATAGAGTGTACAAAATACGAAGTAATTTTAATATATTAGGAAAATAGATTAAAATGTTTGAAATTATGCAAAACATCTGTAACATTTTTTAGAACATTATCAACTGCAGTTAACATGTATACCATAGTTTACATTTAGATAGTAATGCATCACGGGATACTTTAACATCCTCAAAATAAAAATCTGCCAAATGTTTAATTATTTTTTTGTCAAGGTTTGAAAGATTCGGAAGTATTTTGCGGTAATAATATTTGCAGATTTGTAAGTACTATGAAAAATCAATACCCGTTCATTCATATGAGTTATAAAGATATACAAGAGATGAATAAAGAGATTTATTTTATAGTATATTCTCCGACTGACCCCATATTAATATTGGAACAAGGGGTAGCCTTGTTGCGAGTCGAAATAGACAAATATTAAATTCATAGAAATATGCTTTTGACTCAACAATGACATATAATTTATTAAATTCATCATTTAAATTCCCCAATAAAATTATATTTATACTTCTTATAGTCTCATTCAAATCGATGTCATTTATTTCAAATATTTTACATAAAATATTTCTGTAATTAAATAATTTGTTAATATTCTCTAATTTAATTGTAGTATTATGTCCAATAATCTGCCTGCTTCTGAATAAATGTCTTTTCCAGGCCATTGAATTATTTAAGTAAGAGCAACTCCATAAAAGCTGTTACTTTTTATGGTGAAAGCTTCATCTAATTGGACAATGTTTTTGTAGTATTTTTTTCCGTGTTAGGCAAAGAACTTGATATAATTCTGTTTATTATATTTTGACTCTTGGAATAACTAAACATCTCATAGATGTTAGATATTTTGCCTAATGTAAATGAAAAATTTTAATCAAAATAAATAAAATCATATACCCACGCTGTTTCATATCAACGGGAGAGAACAAGAGAACATGAATCAGAAATTGCCAAGCCTAATGAGCAGCACAGTGCACATATATGGACATTCTTTTTATAAAGGCCTAAAGCCCTATGATTTGCCCACTCATTGCATGAGCTCCATCAAAACCTTGTCAGGATGACTAGGATTCTGAATTTCATTAATACTGGTCAAAAAAAAAGAAGTCATATCCATTCTTTAAGTAAATTTATACCTCAAATATTAATTTTTAGAAATATTTTACTTTAAATGTATATATAATATAAATATAACGCCAAAATTTGAAATCGATATTAATCCATAGAATAAATTAATAACATATTTATTTTTGCCGTGAATGTGATAAAAGAATGTAAATTGAAATATTTTATGCGATAAGAAGTGGGAATGATTATTAAATATAAATGTTTGAAAAATATTTTTGCCAGCATCTGAATTTTTTGGCTGGGGGGGGGGGGTTGTTCACCTGCCCTCCTCCCGCTGCGTACTCGCCTGATACTGGGCAATAATAATTTTCGAATATAATTTATTTTTAAAAAGATATCAAATTATGAAAACCGGAAGTCCTATTCAGCCAAACAGTTTGGGTTTTTGATACGGTTTTGGGGGAGGTTTTGACCACAAACGTAAATGGAATATACCAAGTGTAGCTAAGGTGAAAAAATATGAATATTAAAAAAACATAATAAAGGTAAGGTGTAAAAGAAAGAAAGAAATTGCAGAAGAAACTTGTAGGGGGAAGGATATTTGGTGGACCACATAGCACTCTTATTGGCCAAGTAATACGATTGTTCGATAATAATCTTATCGTTCCTCACTTTTCCATTCGTCGATTTATATTTTCTTAATCCATCGGTCGAAATTATGGAACCATGATCGGCCAAATTTGTAGATAAATCTTGATTGGATGAATGGAAACGCTTTACGTGAACGTAAGGAAACCCCATCTGCAGGATCCAAGTGTTCATAATATCATAGAGGTTCAAATTGCTAGAGTCAGATGCCTTTTTTAAAAAATATATAATTTTTTTCCGATTTTTAAATTATTTTATATTTCATATTTTTTTCTTTTTCATATTTATTATTCTCGGTAAAGTTGTCTATGACGTAAAAATAAAATAATTTTAAAAAAAATGAAATCTCGTTTTGTAATTAAAAAAATGATATATTTACCTTTTGCAAATGATACCATAAATCGTTATGATTTGCATTTCGGTACTTCAAAGAGTTCAAGTAATCCTGGAAGAAAAATGTAAATTAAAAATAATAGAATGAAATAAAATAAAATAAAATAAAATAAAATAAAATAAAATAAAAATAAATGATTAAATAATTTTTAAATAATAATGTGATAGACTCCCCACAATTCCAGAATTATCGTTTTCATTTTTATTCTCCTGTTCACTGATTTTATTTTATTTCATTTTTTCTTCATTAATTTTTTTAATTTTCTTCCTCCTTTATATTTAAACGAGTAAACGAACCAACGATGAATGAATGAATTTATAAAATAAATGAGGAATGAATGAAAAAATGATGACATACGGAAATAAATGAATGAGGGAATGAAATAAATATATAATTTTAACTTTTAATCCTTTCCTAAAACTCTTCTCTCCTAAAATATGGTTCATCATCCTAATAACGGCCGAGCCCTGCGTAAAAATATAACAAAATTTTTAATATATAAAGAAAAATAAATTAAGAAGGAAAATAAAGAAATAAGTATATTATATATAAAGAAAATAAGAATGGAAGCTAAAAAAAAAGAGATAATTTAACTTTAGAATAGCTGATTGTGTCAAAAATCTGTCCAATTTCACTGGCATCTGCAACCGGAACGTGGATGGGATGAGAATTGGTGAGAGAATCTATCGAAAATGTGTTTTGGAGATCCTTGATTGGAAATATCGATTTCTAACAAAAATCAATCATTTAAATATTAATATAAAATTAAAATAAATGTGCATTTGTAGTGTTTAGTCTTTATGGTATTTACAACTAATTTTTCCTTATTTTTAAAAAATATTTGATACACTAGTTGGTCACAGAAAATCTTCATTCTCATGTATAAATCAAAGAGGTGGAGTACTTTAAATTTAATAATAAAGAGCTGTATAAATCAGGTCCAGATCATTTTAGCCCATTACACAAACCCTTTTAGGTGGATTATTTGTCTGATATATATAGTTTTGTCTGAGTATTATATTAAGTAGAGAATTAGAGTTTTCAGTTTTAAAATGATACTTTAAGAGGTAAAATGTTATATAACATTACGACTAACTCCTTTAAGAAAAATTAATCGTCAGAAGAAAAATAAAATTAGAAATTCAGTGATAAAAGAAAAAAAACAAAATAACATAACATAACATACTATTTCCCATTTGGGTTCTAGGGCGTGAGTTCCCAGGTATTCCATGTATGAAGCGAATCCTTCGTTCAGCCAAAGGTCGTCCCACCATTGCATGGTTACCAGGTTTCCGAACCACTTAAAATGTCAATTATTTATACACATTATGAGAGTTAATAAATTCTCCATTTTCTTCTCATTTATTTTTAATTCAGAAAAAATTAAAACCGCTAGAGGTATTGACACCTTCTAAGATATAATTATTCCAATTATATTGCTTTATCCATAATTATTTTCTCACATATTTTCATATCATAAATAATTCTCCCCAAAATGGGGTCATCTAATTCATTTATTTAACATAGATAGTTAATATTTCTTCTTTCGCATAATATAATAAATACTACTACTGATAAGCTATTTCTTTGATTTTAGCTGGCAAAGAATTTTTGATTAAAAGGAGTTTGAGAAATCATTTAAGTCATGATTAACTCATAAAAAGGTTTTGAATTAAACTAATTCAAAAGCGATATGAGATTTTTTATTTACTCATTAACAATATGTTATTTTCTTTTTTATTAATTATCATAGGACTCAACATTTTTCTTTTAATCATTTTCAATTTATGTGCTCATCAATCGAGAATTTGGTCTTACTTATCATTGCTAGTTAATATATCGAACCTATTATCTAAATTTATTAAATAGCAAGTTTAAGAGACTTGATGGGATATCTCGTGAACTATAATATTCGCTATTCGTTCCTTGTTGGCCAGAGAAGAGACCTTCGGATCAAACAGGAGTGCCGATTCTCTATAAGTTATGAGTCCCCAATTTTCCATGGCGCCCGCACTGAAATCTGGAACAGCCATCATGTCTTGATGGAGAGATTTGTAATTTATCAAAATGATGATCCTATACTTTATTTACTACATATATCTTAAAAATGGGATAAAACTGTGACAATAATAAATATATTTTTTATTAAAAAAATTCACAAAATTTTAAGGGAATTAAGCGTGATAGAAGGAAGTGAAAATAAAATAAAGAGTAAATGTTATTCTCACCCAATTTAGCCAGGGGATACGGGATCCCAAAGTATCCCTCAAAAAAATCCAGAACTTTCGAAGAAATTTCGCTGGCGTACGAAGCATGTTCGGACATACCTGGCCTGACCCATATGGAAAACTTAAATAAAAATTATTTAAAAAAAAGTAACATTAAGTAAATAAAATATCATGGAAAATTGGGGGATATTTGAAATATTTTCAAACAAAATTTTACAAATTCTGAACAAGATATACACACAAGATGTGTAATTCATAATTATAAAATACTCTATACCAATATTATTATAAACAAAGGGTATGATGAACTATAGAAAACATAAAAAATAATAATATAAAAGTCAATTTTATTAGATGAATCAACATGCAGGAATAGATTAATATGTTTTAGCACAAAGAAATTATACTTCGATCGTAAGATAGCTATTATATTATAATATAACATTTACTAATTGGATCTTAAAATTAACCAACAGAAGCCATCTACTATATTTAAAAAAATAAAAAATTACCTTAAGATAAAATGAAAATCTTGAAAAATTTAACAAATTAATAAAATATTATATACCTTTACTCCAGACTTTGAAGGGGCGGCCGGCACTACATCGAACTCATTTTCACTGAAGGCTAGAAGATATGTTGACATGAGAGGTGAGGTTTCATAGACGTGTCTTTTCCAACCTGGTATGGGTCTTTAAAATATTTTTAGATTAATAATGGCATTCTTTTCCATCCTTCCTTACGATAAATAAATATCTATATTTCATTACGATTTATGGGTAGCCTTTCTGGGAGTATTAGCTACACTTTTACGGGCTGTGATAAGGCTGATATCAAATGTGGCTTTCATAGCAGGTTCATCGAAGCAAGGGAATGCCTTGCGAGCGTCTGTTGGTTCGAATTGGGTTACTGCTAAATAACTTAAAATTTAAAAAATGAAATGAATAAAGAATTTATTTCCAAAAAAATGAAATGGCAAACATTAAGAGATGTAAAAAAGGGAAAAATATAAATTGGCACGCTCTCATTATATGGTTACCGCCGTCACTACCTCCTTAAAATGGTTACAGTTCGCTTTGATCAGTTCAAACAAAATTTTTGACAATGATTACCAGATGATCACCCGAGTGAGTCAATAAATATGAAAGAAAAAAGGAAATGAATAGAGGAGAATCAATTATCAAAATTAACTGCAAATGAATGGTAGAATTTCTATTTCTCTTTACAGGTTATAACCAGGAATGAAACGGAGAAAATATAAGAAACGGGTGAAAAATATTTTTTTTTAATTGGAATGTAAATTCTTACTAAGAATAATATATATCCCGATAATTATCTCATTTTCACTAAAAATATAACATATAATATTCCCGCCAAATTGATTTTCAGCTCCAGTCTAAAGCAAGATCTAAAAAATATTGATTAGAAAATTCAGAGTTTTAAAAAAAGGAGGATTTTTTTAATCTCACTTGTCTTCTCCTTTGTACTTATAACTGGACAAATAAAAGCCTGCCAAATCAACAGTCAATTGCCCTCGAAATTTTGGAATAGTCAACACATAAATTCCAGGAGCCAATACTTTTTCCGTCAAAATCTTTAACCAATCATGGATGGGTTCCAAGGAGGCATTAGAGAGGATAATATTTTCGCCGATGACATAATTGACGTCATTTATCATTAGCTTTGTCGGCTTATTCTTCACATCACTTTCGTCCAAATAAGCTTTAGGAAAAATATTAGAATATCTATATTTATTCATAATTCTATTTAAAAAAAAATTCCATTATCATTTCTCAGTGGTTCTAACTCGGAATTCTCGATAAACAAAACTGTTACATCATGGATTACCCAGTCATTTATCTGGGGGAGTGGAACTAAGAGGAAATGTAGTATACTCCTGAAAATAAAAGTAATTTATACCCCCTCAGATATTTTATGGGGCTCAGGGTAGTGACCTTACTAAGAACTTTTAAAAGATCTGCCACAGGGACACATAACAACAACAAAATTTATTAAAAATATTGAGAGAAAAAAGGAAGTAGGGCAAGTATTACAGCATGATATTTCTTTAATCTAATGGCTACAATTTTTTTTAACCAAATTACTAGAAAGTAAAAGTTTGTACATGTGTTAAAAAAAATATGCCAAAAATTGTATATTATTTGTAAAAATAATCATACTTATTTCTCTAGATAGATGTTTGGTGTCCTCTATAACATTCCTATCACCCTTTATATTATTCCTATTATCCAATGATTTAGTATGTACTTTACTCGATCTCTTTACTATTTTGTTCCCGCTTTCAATCATGTCGTTTCTAGGGTCGAAAGGAGACGTTTCATTAAATTCCTGCTTTCCTGCTTTTATTTCTTTTGCCTGCTCATATATCCTTTAACATAAATGTAATATAAAATCATAAAGTTAAGATTACTCCCGTTAGAAAGTCAATGATATGTCACTTTATAAGAAACAGTGAATTGTAAAAGGGTGGGGATAACTTTCCCTTGTCTCCTTATTAAAACCCATTTAATAATAAGTTTTATACATGTACATTATTTGGAAGGTGTCGATAGCAACTAATAATAAAATTATTTGGAAGGTGGCAACTAATAATAAATTGACGCTAGCACTCTTTCCCCATTTATTAAAAAAAGCCTATTACCTTTCTTACCTGTTCAAGAATCAAATATCCGAAATTATTATCATTATTTTATATATAGAAAAGCCTACCTCTCCAATTTCATCCCATTTTGGGGTCTCGATAGTTCATTCAATGCTTTTGAATGAATCTTTATTTCGCGCGTAAAATTCTCCATTATTTTGAAATAAATTTTGACGCTCCCATAAAAAGCGAATAATTTTTTATTTGCTTCTACCTTTTCTTTGGCATCTTTGAGTTTCTTTTTCAATATTTCCTCCTTTATTATTTCTTTTTTTATATGTGCAATCTTATTTTTATTCTTTTCTCGTTTTTCGGGAAAGCTATTGAGAAGTAGGGGTATCGATTCGTTGTTAAATCTAGATATTTCCCTTAATTTATTAATGCCATCTGGTTTGATATTTTTTATTATGTCATTTTTAATTCTGTATTTTTTGAAGTTTTTCTTACTTATATTTTCCAAAGTAGACGATGAGGATGATGATAGAATTGCATTATTGTGAAAAGTATAGCTATTTTCTACAATATGTTTAGCCTTTAGTCGCCCTTCCATATTATTCTCTGTGTTTTGGATTATATTATTTAGCTTGACGATTACCTCAGTTCTATTCTTTATTTCTTCTTGGACATATCTCCAAAAATCTTCCAAGTAGCTATCCTCTTCTTCAAATTCGTTATTCGAAACCTCATGATTTCCCAATATTTCGTTCACATCTGTATCTATTACTCGCACCGAATCGTTTTTAAATAGGGCAGCCTCCATGATATTGGGTATCAAGATAGGCAAGAATTGCAGACGATAATGAAACGGCACCACGTTTGGATCCAAACGGACATCCCGTTTTACGATCGAAAGAGAGATATCTTATATTTGAATATTACATATATAATTAAATCCTATATTTATCATAAAGAATAGCATTTTTGATTTAATGAAAAAGATGGATAAAAAAAATCAAAAAGAAAACAACCTTACTAAATAGATGAACACTTGAAATTTTAACTAACTTGAGTCAACTATTAGGAATTACCTAACCGATTTTTGTTATTTATCAATGTATACTGAAGGCATCCCAGAAGAAATCCATCTCCACTATTTTGCAGATAATGATTATGGGAGTGCACCCTTCTAAGATTAAAATGGGTAATTGCTCAGATAGGACGATTTTATTGAATAAATTCTATAATAAGAGAAAGTGTCTAAATGAGAAATACTCACGAATTTAGCTAAATTTTATGATTAATACCGTTTATATTTCTGTTCTATGTACCCTGTTTAACACTTGTCACTTGTGGTTTCTAACAAAAATTGTGTCTTAAAAACTTTTATTATATAGGAAACGCTAAGAAACGTCACTTTATAGGGATTTGGTTTTACCAGAATTCTGAATCAATAATAATAATGATAATAATAATACTAATAATAATGAGAATAATATTAACAATAATAATAACAATAATAATAGGAATAATAAAGCACTTATATATTACACATACTTTTAGTGCTAACTTCAGCTTTCAGTTTTAACTTATCTCCAGTATTCAACATAGCAGCCTTGGCCCCTCCTTCTTTATCAATTGCATGATCGGTTTGATCGAAGTTCATTGGGATAGGATTAGGAAGTACTACGGGATTTAGATTATGTACTACATCCCCAATATTCTTGTCCACGTCAGAAGTTTGGAGAATCTTTTTTTTAAATGTGTTTAAGAAAATAAAATATTAATAAAATTTCTTATTTTTTAAATTGATTGTCTTATTTAATTTCAGCAACAAATTTTTAAAGGCAAAAAATTAGGAGAAAGTAAAAATATTGTGCAATTTGATTAAAAAAATAAATAATTTAAATTCAGATAGCGCTTAAAATTAAGCGCGTTTAGTCTTACCGCAAAATAAAAAAAGGTGGATATTAAATTATTTTCCTTATAAAATTTTTTTTTTGACTTCGTTCATCCGCCCATATTACCCCCTCCCCCTTCAGAAATCTTAGAAAATACCTTTTATAACTCCCTCCCCCTCTATCTTCAAAAAAATTTTCTTAATTGACATTTGTAAAAGGAAAGTTTAAAGGTATAAATATATCTAAATGTAAAATTTTTTATAAAATGAAATTAACTTTTGGATCTGTCCCCACTAGACTTCCACTTTTCATTTGACCTAAGATGGCGGCCATCACAATCGTAGAAATTAATAGAGTCAATGTCATAATCGCTAATAATAGGATTATTTTCTTTAAAGAGGTCTCTTTATTCGGTCTTGATTCGGGATTTTTTGATTCGAGGAATTGATCGATCTCTTTATTTGTATGTTTATTATTTTTGTTACTATTAGCGAAATTTATTTGGCAATCCTTATTAATCTGATTATTTTTGTTCGCCGATCTTGACCGTTCCTTTTCCTGATTTGTGTTCGCTAATTTTTCCGAATTTTCTTCTGATAGTTGATAATTTGTCGATTTTACCGGATCTTCGTCGGGATTTCGTAATGGCTCTAAATCTTTATCGTCAGGATATCCAAATTTTTGTATATTTTTAGTAGTAGAGTCACTTTCACCCTCGAAATATCGTGTTTTGGTCTGCAATAAATTTTTATGCAAATCGTTATCGAAACCAAAATCGCGAAAATTATTATTCTTTAAGCCTCTGTAATCTAAAACGTTATCACCACCTGGATTTTTTAAAGGTACGGTACTCAGGTTATTATTATAGTCGATTTTATTGTCATTGCTTTTGAATTGTTCTATTATTTGATTTTTATTGTTTGCTCTGTCATTGTCCCTTTGTGTTTCTAGTTGAGAGATGAGGGAAACGCTTGGAAAACCCCATTGTCCATTAGTTAGTGACATTTGACTTAAACTTTTAAAATAATTATCATTTAATCCATTTCCACTATGTGAAGGTGAACTATATACACAATTATTTATTGAAAAACTATTTGATTTGTTATTATCATAAATACCACTACCATTATTATTACTATTATAAATATTACTGTTATTATTTGACAACCGTACATTTTTAATAAGATCTTCAATTGATCTATTTGCATTTTGTGATACTACATTCGTAGGACTATTCAGAATACCCATGAAATCGCCTAGTGATCTATATGATTCGTAATTTTTAGGAACGTTTTTGTCATTTTGTGCCCTCGATAAAAGAATATTTTGTGATCTACCATACAGAATATTCGACCCGTTTTGTTTATTTAATCCTCCACTCTCGACATTTTGGCTATATTTCGCATCCTTTTCAGGGATATTTTTTGATGGATATAATATATTATAATCTTTATCAAATGATTGATCTAATTCCCCTTTTTGTTTTACGCTGGAGGGATTTGCAAAAACAGATGTAGTGGAAGCACTTTCCTCTTTAGGTCTATTGATTTTGAAATTTTCATTTGAACCTTCCTTCGTTGGTGTAAGGGATTGTAAATTTTTGATGACTTTTTTGGGAATCGATACGGGTGTATTTTCTTCCGCACTATTTAAATTTTTTGTTAAAAATGTCGGATACTGGACATATTCGTCTTTATTTATTGTCGTATTAGATTGGTAATTTTGTCCTACATTTGAAGAAATTTTGATTTCTTTGGAGGAAATTTCTTCGGAGAGTGATCGGTTTAATTCGCTATTTTTTGGAATGTTCTCAATATTTTTTACATCAAAGAGAATATTGAGATTTCTTTCATTTTTTATAATTTTGTGCTTCAGTTCTAACATTTATTTGTCTAGTTTTATTTACAATTTTATTGTTTATAGTTGATTATTATAATTTTGTCTGCTTGATATATCAATTATGTTCTGTCATTTTTGGAACATAAGATTAATAAGGGATCAAAGTAATAGCGGAGAACAGAATAAGAAATATGTCCTCAAACCTATTAGAAATTATTCATTATATAATATCTTAGGTTTTATGCCATATCTTGTCTCCCAAGATAGATTTTATTTTTATCTGATTAATTTTTTAATATTTATTATATAATATTGGGAGATAAGGTATTTTAATACCGAAATCTCTAAGATTGAACTCGATATTATTGAGTAAAAACTCAGCTGGATCAGATCAGCCAATAAGACACATTCAAGAAAACATATAATGGTTTTTCTTTTATAATATTGGAACTTCCTATATGTTAATATTCGAGTTTTTTTTTTACTGAAGAGTAATCAGATATATTATTATATAATATAATCAATTGAATTGAATATAATTGAATATTTAAAAAAAATGCAAATCAACCTTAGGACCTTCATTATTAAATGTAATCTAATCAACATTACCCCATTTTTTTAAAAAAAATCAGTGTAATAATATCTGAATACTATTTTCTTCTCCAACCTATATAGCAAGACAGAGGCATATCACACACCCTTTTTTAATACTTGCAGAATGATGGAAAATTAAATGGGGATTTATGTGAAAGGCATGACATTGCCAACGGAAAGTAGAGAGAAATGTGAATTCTCAGATGGATGCTAGATAAATCTGGAGGAAGCATGTGAATAATGGAGTCTCTTAAATCTGAAGTTCTCTTCAATTCAAGTTAAGATAAAGGAAAGTATGTTATATTAGTTTGGTCATTAAAAAAAGGCGAAAAGCGTAAAGGAATAATGAGACTTAAGTGAGAGCTAAAGTAAGGGTGCTCCTAAATACAAAAAAAATAGGTGGACGTTGTTATTAAAGGCTTATTGACCCTAAGCTTAAAGGATATAACTTAGCAAGTGACCGACAGAAACCAAGGGTTCCAAAAATTTATCCATTTGCATGAATAGTATTAGACTGTTATTGTTATAATATTAAAGGAAAGATTAAAGATCTGGCTCTTAAATATTGGTTTTTAGGGTACAAAAAGAAAAATATTTGACTTAAAAATCTACCATATCATTTTTTGATAATTAGGCTACATTTTTATCGTTATAAAGAGCTCCGTAGGTTTTATTATAAACACGATTTGTTTTAAACAGAGTTGTTAAACACTACTTTTAAAAGTAGAGCGTTACCGCTACCGCTATTTGCCAAAAAAGGTAGCGCGCTACCACTATCGCTACCCATCAAAAAAAGGTAGCGCGCTATTAGCTACTATTTTTCTACTTTTTATAAAAAAAGTTACAAATTTGTTTTATTTTTTGCTTATACAACATTTATAAATATTTAAATATAGTTAGTTTTGATTATAAAAAAAATTTATGTAATAAAAAAAATATTTAGGGTAATATTCATTTAGTAGCATTTTAATAATAAAATCATTTCGATATTATCATCCCCAAGTCTAGAGCGACGATCAGAAAGTATAAGTTTCGCCTTAATAAATAATCTCTCAACACTAGCACTTGAGGGCAAGGTAGTATTTAATTTTATATACATATTTTTAATATAAGAAAGATTATCTATGAGTATTTTTAGATTTAAAAAACGAGTCCAGGGGATTTTCTATTATATTATCTTTTATTTCAAAAAAATTATCAATGGAAGTCATTTTTGTGGTTTTAACTAGGCCATCTTTGTTTAGTATGAGACTATTCAACTTTACCATGAGCCTATTACGTTGATCTTTAGTATCATCGGAATTGTTATATGGCCAGTTTAGTTTAAAATTGGGATGAATCATTCCAATACATTATCATCATTATAGGTTATCTAAAAGTTACAAAAATAGTGTATTTAAAATATACCTTAATCATAAAATTTTATAAATTTTTTAACTTTAAGTTAGAGTAAATTATTCAGTCAAAATCAAAACAATATAAATTTTATTTACCTTCTCTCAATGCCTTTAAACATAGAGTCTACTAGGGGCTGGCATAAGATTAGATTATTCAATCTCTATTATTTTGTAATTAGGATACTTAAAGTGGGAACATAATACCCCATCTCCATATTATTCTCACCTTCCAAAATTTCAAGGGAAAGAGCTATTGTATAACCTAAAAAATTAAAATGTTATGAAATTGAATAATTATTAATTATTATTACTTCTGTATATACTTTTATAAAAGTAAACCCTTCATCGTTAATATATTGAATTCCAACATGATCACAGAGAAGAATCATTCTTTCATCAAGAGCTATTAAATTTATTTGGTGGTATACTGAATTCCGTCTAGTGTGGTTAGGAGTTAATAAATACCTGCCTAATTTTTTTAAAATATGTGCCTTTAGAAAATTTGTTCTGCTTATTCCATAGAGTTTGACATTTATAAAAAGTGGATCTTGATACCCTTTAAAAATCTTCATTTTTAGGGCTCCTTCCACATCCACTGATGCTATCAAAAGATTATGGCATGAGCATCTCTGATGACTAGGCATTAGAGCATTTTTCATCACTTTAAAGTTATCTGTTATCTTATTCATAAGTGTCTGGCAAGATAAAATTGTTGTACCAGGGGATAGAGTTTTAATCCTCATGGTAAATTGGATTATCAACCAAGGACATTGGCTGAAATGTAGCAATTATAAAATAAATAACTTTATCAGCCAGTTTCTGAGAAATATTGGCATGTGCATTATTAATCAATTTGGTTTTTGGTCTCTGGATGTAGAGTCGCCTATACGAAAATTATTTAGATGTTTTTCTATTTCCTTAAATCAATTTGGTTTTTGGTCTCTGGATGTAGAGTCGCCTATACGAAAATTATTTAGATGTTTTTCTATTTCCTTAAAACTGTTACCAAGAACATTTTTTTAAAATAACTATTAGAATTTAAAAATGAAAATTACCTTTGGTGTTTTTTGAGGTTATAGCTACTGGATTGATTTGAGGATATATTTTTTTTACATTTTAAACATAAATTTGTAGCCAGTTTTGGTTTTTATATTAATTTCAAAATATTTTTCAAATTTTGGAAATGGGAAATTTGTATTTTGTTAAGAAAATTTTCTTCCCGTGTATCTTCCATATTAATATCAACGTCTGACTCACTTTTAACGATTGGGTATTTATATGCGATGACATTTTAAATAATTTACACGTGATTTAGGTTTATAATACAAATTGAAAATATAAATTACAAATTGAAAATATATTTCAATTTCAAAATTAAATAATAAATCATAAATTATATTTTAATTAGGATATTATATTTAAATTTTCATGTTTATAGTTTTATTCATTATATTTTTAAAAAGTAGCTAAGTAGCACAAAAAAAGGAGCGCGAAAAAATAAATAATTTTTAAAAAAAATAGCGCGCTATTAGCTACTACCCAAAAGATAGCTCGTTACTTTAACAACTCTGGTTTTAAATATATTAAATTTCAACAAAAATGCTGGGCTTTGTAAATTAGCTTCTCTTTATTAGCGTAGTTACTTTTAAAACCTTATCAAAAAAACTTATTTTCCTAAGTTTGTTAAAGTTGATTATATTTTATTTTTTTTAATTTTTTTTAATTGGTCATCAGTGCTTCTTGCTCGCCATACTTTATAATTTATTGGAAAAAGGGGAAGAAAATTTAAAAAAAATAATAATATTTTTTCCTCTTTCTTTACGCTCGTTGTTCATTTTTTAAAATTATTTTTGATAGTGTCATCTAAGATTTATTCATTACTTATATTTATAAATTATAAAAAAATTAAATAAACATGACATCATTTATACAGAGTATAAATACATATTATACTTTAAACCTAGATGAATTTATTAAATTCAAATATGTTTTTTTAAAACTTCTATTAAAACAAAATAACAATAAAAGATTAATTTCAAGAAGTATTTAAGAGATTAATTTTTTTTTGAAAAAAAAATTGAAAAGAATAGAAAAGAAAAAAGAAAAAGGGAACAAAAAATAGAAGTAAAATTATATTTATGTAAACCGATTATTAAAAATACTAAAATAAGGTCAAAATTTATAACCAGATACCTTTTATTATTAAAAAATTTTAATATGGGCAATTTTTTGATTAAATGTGTAAAAAATTTAGTTTTTTCTTTTCGATTTCAATTTTTCTTCATAGATTATTAATCGAACCTTAAAATTTGAACCATAACTTTTAATGCAGAAATAAACAGTGCTAATAAAACTGGGTTAGTTCAGATTCTAGAGTATAGTCTCATAGACTTTACAATAATCCTTGAACTTATAATATCTCTAACTCCTTCAGCTATATCTAGGCCTAGTTTTAAACATTAAATTTATTATCGTACTCTAGTTCATTATTAAATTATAATTTTAAAAAGCCAACAATATGGTAAAAATCCTCAAATCTTATCTAACAAAATATAGACCTAGAGAACAAAACAAAAACAAAATTCTACCTCTTAGCAATTAACTTTCAAATTTATCCAAAATTATAAATCTAACAATAACTGTAAAAACCTAAAACGAATTAATTTTATATGAAAGTTCGTGCTGGAGAACGGTCAGGCCATCAAAATTAAATTATTTTAGCGGCTGCCAAATTATGTCTTCTTTATGTAAAAGTGATTGTAATTTAAAAAAAGTATAATATTACATAAATTATGCTTATATTAACTAATTCAGTAATTTGTTAAAAAAAATTATTTATATTTTGCTATAATCTGGTGCATAAATATTACCAAACTCATATTCTAAGCTACGTATTCACGAATACCATTTAAAAATGACGAATCACTTAGTTAGTTATTTTTATCATTTTTTTTTAAGTTTAAGTAAATTGGAGGCTTTTAGAGGGACGTCGAATCTATTTTTACTCTGGGTCGTCAAGTAATAGCATGGCTCTGATTAAGTCGCCTCCATGATTATAAATTATAATTTATTGTGAACATGATAAAACAAAACCTCACCCAAGCAAGACTAAATCCAATAATTGTGTCATCCTCCCTAGACCTTGACTGACATCAGGGCCCTGCTTAGAAAAAAAATTTAGCCTATCCCCACCAAAAAAAATTTTTTAACCCCCTCCCTTTACCCGAAATTTTGCAGATTTTGATCATTTGGATATTTCATACGCTTAGAAGTGAATTGTAATATATATAAAAAATTACAAATTAACCTTAATATTACACATAAGTTATGTTTAATATTACCTAAATAATGATTATTGTTACTTAATTTAGTCATTTTCCAATTATTATTATTTTATTCATTTTCTAATCTGCTCCTTCACCATAAACACGACGAAAAATGATCAAAATGTGCGATATCAGGGAAAATCTGATGCCATTTCTGATCAAAATTATATCCCCCCGCCTCCCTATCCACCATCTAAATCACATTAAAAGAAATTCTAGTTACGGGACTGACTGACATTCAATTATAAAATTGATCCCAACTACTTCCACTTAAAACTTCTTAAGGATATGCCCTAAATATCAAAAATATAATTAATTAACTTTAAAAGAGATATAAACTATTTTTGATGTGTAAATAAAATAGTGGCCTAAATCACTTTTCGAATTTGCGAAAGTTTATTAATATTTTAAAGTTCGATAAATCATAAAAATTTAATAAATTTTAGATTAAAGTTTAAGTTTGTAAAGTTACGTTATGTAAAAAAGTAAGCAATAATTAACTTGTATTTTTCAAATTATACTAAGGAATGGGCAGTTTATGATGATAATCAAAATGGGATGGGAAGTATAAAAATAATTTGGTAGAAAATATAAATTTTAAAAATTTACCTTTTAAAAATTTTTAATGAAAGTTTTTGGATATGTTTCATAATTTTTTAAAGTTAATAAAGTTTTGAAATTTTGAGACTTTTTAAAATATATTTATATTATTGTATATAGTGATAATCAATCTCGATTTGTTAAACCCCCCACCCCAAGGAATCTTAACTGATATCCGGAATAAATCAAAATTAAAACAAAATAATTATAATTTATAATTTTTTTAACCTGTTTTTATAGGTAAGGGATGGATGGAAGGACACCCTAAAACTAAAATAGGAGCATGCGATAGAAAGGGCATATATACTCGGCACTTCAAGGTAAATAAGATTGATGAGGAAAGACTTTTGTAGATAGCATGAAAATGCGTCAAAGATTTTGAACGTATATAGTGACCCCAATAAACTTGGTCACAGAGAGGGGGAGGGTGGGGTCACCTGTATTTTTTTAATCAAACAAATATTTTAATTAAAAAGAATTATATTGTGAAAATTTTTTTTTAACTTCTCTAAAATTAATTAATTTTTTTAAATAAAAAAATTATAAAATCTCTTAGAATATCCATAAGGATTTAAGAATTCAAGAATTTAATCCCTGGTTTATAACAAGGAAATTTTTTTTAAAGTTTTTTTTCTCAAATTGCACAACAAACTTTAAATTAAAATACTTTAATTAATTAAATATGTTTTTTGCATTTCTTAAAAAGCCTAATTTTAACAATTTTAATGTTCTATTATTTTTAAAATATCTAGTCAAGATCGAATTCGTTCATTTTATTCTAATAATTATTTTCAATCTATTATTTTTCTCTTGTCCCATTTTTTTAGTTTAATCTTAATTTTTTTTACTTTCTCCTTTTTGTCCTTTTTTTTTAAGCTCTTGAGCTAGTAGACTTTTTTGAAATAATTTATTTCCAGATGGAATATATCATGGAATAAATGAGAATTCAAATGTTTGCAGAATCATTAGAACACCCAAGGTCTGCAAAATATACCGGACTCGTATCTGATTTTAATTATCGGATCGGGCATGTTTCTAAAAACGAAATGAGTAGACATGCACATGATTTTTTCAAAAAAATAATTTTGATTATATTTGTTAAAAAAATTATAAATCAGAATTTAATTATTATAATAGAAGGACATTAAATTCTTATAACCCTAGTTGGTCGGAAACCGAACATTAGAATTGTATTCTTAGGGATCAGGATTAGACAAAGCAATTGGTCATTTTATCAAAAATTTGGAGCCTGATAGGGCACGGGTTAAAAAACAATTCTAGGGCTAGGACAGAACATTATTATACATATATACATCAGTTTGAGAAAGAATTAAATTGTGTTGTTTATTGAACCAACAAATTCTGTTTCATCCTGGGCCCCTGATCTAAGCTTTAGCAAGGCCATAACTTCATATCAACACCATTAGATAGATTACAAAGGGAGAGAGAAAAGTAGTTTAACTTTTATAAAATAGGACAGCCGACAGAAACCACCATGGTCGAGAACAGGATCTAAAACTTGACGTAACAAATATTTATAATAAACTTCATTTTTGAATAACCTGTTTTTTATACGATTCACATGATTTCTTTAAAAAATTTTATTGTGCAAATCTAATGATGGATATTTAAAAAGTATATTTTTTTGAAATATTATTTTACATATGTTCTATTAATATAATTTCAACACTTTCTTATTGTATATAATATGAGAGGAACATAAAAATTATTAAAATATAATTTTTAATTTATTAAAGGCCAATCTAAGCCAATTTTTAAGGCAAAGGATTTTAAATTTATTTCCTCTTTCTATGACAAATATTTTTTTTTGCCAAAAAATTAGAGCCAATTAAAAAATCCACAAGTATTATTCTTAAATAAATTCTACTTATAAACGTGATTAATTATAACCCTTAAACTTCAAATCAAAAACAAAATAAACTTCAAATCAAAAACAAAATAAAATACTGTGAAAAGAACAAAATAAATGTGAAAAATAAAAAATGTAATTGTTCCAAAAAGAAATAAATTGAGATAGTTAAACATTTGCTAAAAATATAGAATTGTAAAAGGAAGATTTTTTTGAGAGAGGATTTTTGATCAAATTTTACCTAAAATTCTAAATTTATTTTGTAAAAAATCTTTACTAAGTAGATCTTTTGTTACCCGTTACTGGTTAACGGTGCATATATGCACCACCTCCTATATACCTTATTTTAACATAGTAGTTTTTATTTTAAAAAATAATAAAAAAGATTTTTATATAGTTCAGACATTGTACTTCAAAACTGGAAAAGAAAAATATGAAAAAAATATTTTTTTATGTCCCTAAGAAACCCTCAAACTTTGCGAATTTATGAGGTCTAAAATGCAAAATTTTTTAAGTGATCTCACAAGCATATTATAAAATTATTTTGATGAAAACTAGTGTGTATATATTCTTTATAGATATATCAATATTTATCAATCATTTTTGAATTTTTAAATAATTAAAATTTTAATAGGTAACCACATAAAGTTGACTGGTGCATATATGCACCGTTAACCATCTAGCAGTATAAATTATTTAAAAAATTCAAACAAATGAAATTTAACATAATGAATTATAATTTTTTATATTAAAACCACTACCGTCACTAAGGGTGGGGGGAGGAGGGGTGGGTGGCTCGAGCCCCCTAAGAATTTTTTTAAAAAAATTTTATACCCAAAAAAAGACCTTTTGAAAATAATTTAAAAATTTTTTAGCCCCCTGAGATTAAATCGAATAATATATTGTTCCTATTATAATTTTTTATCCCGATCAAATTATATGAAATAATTAGGTTCATAAATATTCAAAAGTTTAAAATTATTTTTAGCCTCTTCCTTTCTGAAGATTTTATTTTATTTATATAAAATATTATGCACCTGTTTTGTCAATTCAATCAAAATTATCAAAATAATAGATGACTAATAAAAAAATCAAGATTCTACGAAAATAATTTGTCTAGATATTTAATTTTTAATAAATTTTTTTAATGAAACGTTTTCTAACAATTGAACAAACGCTTGCTCAACTTTTTGAAGAGGAACCAATTGAAGAAAGAGATATGGTTATAATTCCGCCAAACCCCTCTGCAGTTAGTGATGAAGAAGATTTCGATGAAAATGACTTAACAAATGTCGGAGTTTTGCCTTCAGATACAGCTGGAGAATTGGAGATTCATAATTCAGTTGATGACGACCTTCCAGAACCATATTCTACAAGAAGCTATTCTCGAATTTCTCACAATTTAAAATGGAGAAAAACGGATGCAATATATTCTTCAAGTCCTTTCAATGGATAAAAGGAAGATGTAATAAAACTTGAAAATGATTTACATGGTAAAAGTCCATCAGATATATTTTCTTTAATTTTCGACGAAGACTTATATTCACTAATTGTAAAACAAAGTAATATTTATGCTAAACAAATGAATAGACCTAACATATGCATAACCATCCAAGATATTCAGAGATTTATTGGAATTCTATTATTTACTGGATATCATTCTCTCCCACAAGAAAGAATGTACTGGTCTAATGATAGCGATATTTCTATTCCAATAATCCGGGATACAATGACCCAATTACAATTTCGAAATTTGAAATATAATATCCATTTGGCAGACAATACTAAAATAGATATACATGATAGATTTTATAAAGTTAGGCCTTACATTAATATATTGAATAATAAATTTCAGCAATTCGGAATTTTCAAACATCATTTATCAATAGATGAACAGATGATACCATATCGAGGAAGACATTCTTGCAAAATGTTCATAAAAGGAAAACCAATTAGATTCGGATACAAGTCTTGGATATTGGCTTCTTCCGACGGTTGCGTATTCTCATTTGATATATATCAAGGAAAAAGCGAAAATAAATATGAATATGGATTAGGTGGAAATGTAATCATAAAATTATTAAATTGCAAAAACCAAATTATCATAAAATATATTTTGATAATTTCTTTCATCATTTAAACTCTTGTCATACTTAAAACAAATGGGATATTTTGCAACTGGAACTGTGAGGGACAATAGAATAGAGCATTGCCCAGTTGAATCTATAAAGGTTGTAGCAAAAAAAGAAAGAGGATATTATGATTATAGGTTTGAAAAATTAAACGAAATATTTGTAGTTCGTTGGAATGATAATTCGGTGGTGACCGTTGCATCGACATGCCACACTATCTCTTTGCTTTCTAATGTTTCAAGGTATTCTAAGAAAATATCTTCTAAAATAAAAATTCCTCAGCCAAATATGGTAACTGCTTATAACAAACACATGGGTGGAGTTGATCTATGTGATAATCTAATATCTACATATAGAATAAAAATAAGAGGAAAAAAATGGTGGTGGCCAATATTCACCAATTATATTGATGTAGCTTTGGTAAATTCATGGAAAATCTGGAAATTCGCGAATCGAGATGACAAGAAGAGTTTCTTGCATTTAGACGAGAAGTTACTAATTACCTCCTTCGATCGCCAGTAAAAATAGAAAAAAATTCAAGTACAGGTCACGCCAGCCAGTTTGCATTACAGACCCTATTGATTCATCTGGACATTATTTATCCAAAATTATAGATGGAAAAAGACGAAGATGCAGATATTGCCATACGCACTCAAGATATATGTGCCAAACATGTCAAATCGCACTCCATATGTTTCAAGGATTTTCATAATATATAAACATTTTCTCGTTTTTATTATAAATTACAAAAAAAGAATAAAGATATTTGTTGTTTTTTGATCTTATAGTATTTTATATAATTTTTATCTTTTTTAACCTCTTAATGGTTAACGGTGCATATATGCACCAGGCTAGATTTTCTATTTAGGATTATTTTTTTTGGCTGATTTTTTTAGAATATCATATTTGAGCATTAATCAATATAATTTGAAAAAATTGAGCATTTTTATCCACTAGAAAAATCTTGACCATTAATGGGTTAATTGACATTCATTTTATTTATAAATTCTGATTAAAAAATATCACCGTGGAACATGAGTACATGATTTCCTCTAGCAGATGTGCTGGCGCATACATATAAATTTGATATGAGTGGGGGGGAGGGGGGGATGCTCATGTAGACTGCCCAGATAAAATCTTAAGGAAAATAAAATCGAAAATGAATATCCAGGGCAGGAATACCAGATCCTGCTCATTAAAAAAAAGGATAACACTTTTCTTTTTTTAATTCTTTCTTCCTTTGACAAGAAAAGGAACTTAAAAAAAATATAAATTGATTGTTAAACAGTCAATTATTTTATTAACGTGATAATACCTTATTATCTATTCCTTATAAAAAGTCCTAATTTTAAGGTATACCTTCAAGTGATAAGGGTAAGATGTTAGTTTGAAGCTATTATTGAAAGAATAGATACTATGAGAATGTGAATTTTGGATTCATATACGGCTAGATGTCGCATTTTTAAAAAATGGAAGAGGCTCGGAGAATGTATAAAATTTTAAAGTAGGTTAAATAAATGTTCTCTATAGGATATCACATAGGGGAATTTATTTTAATTATTATAAGAGTTAGTT